CTGCTTTTTTTTTTTTTTTTTTTTTTTTGTTAATATGGCGGTTTATTTTCATTGATCGGCCCGTTTTCTTGGATGCTGTTTTCGTTGTTATGCAATGCCCTAAGTCGTTGAGTTTTCGAATCGATACGGAATTTTGCAGGATCGGAGGATCGGATTGGACGTATCGTTTTCAAAGAAATCCTGATTTCTAGCTGAATTTGGGTGCCATAGACTTCTTCTAATCTTTCGATACAATTTGGTATCAGTTTGAGGGGCTGCAAGGTGTTTGTGAAAATGCCTCAACGAGATTGGCATAAGAATCCGAAAGGAAAAGAGAATATGAGTTCTGGAGGAGGAATCGCCGCTTGGAATGTGTTTGACAATGTGAAGACCACAACGAAGACGCCTGAAGCTCTAATCGCGGAGATCAATACTGCAATTGCAAATCTCGAATATGCTCGATCAACCGCCTTCTTAGAATCTCCAATTTCTCCCACTCCACAAGATAGGAGCTCTGGTGTGAGCTCAAGTACTCAGTATGATGCACGAATTGCAGATGAAGCGTACAAGGCAGGGTGTGCGGCATTGGCTGTTGGTAAACTCGATGAGGCTCTTCATTCGTTGAATGTCTCTCTTTCGAAATGCCCGCCTGAGAAATCCTCTGCTGTTGCTAAGCTTCAGTCTCTCATCTCTTTGACGTCTAAGCAACTTCAGATCAGATCTTCCAATTGTCATGAAATTTCAGAAGATTGAGCACCCTTGATCTCTCCCCCCAAAAATTTTCATCTGGGAGCTGAATCCCTCTCGTTCCTCGATCATGTTTGTCTGTGTGAAATAGGCTAAATTTATGATTTGGTGGTTGTTTAAGACGCGTCAATGTATATTAAGAGAAGAGTAGGCCATTAATGCATGGACCATCAGAATTAATCAATGATAGATATTGACAGGTACAAGCGTTTTGTTCCACTTATTCATGCTGATCCTCTTCATTTTCCTTTTCCATCTAATCTTATCCTTCTTTCATCTCTGAAAATCCCACATGGTTGCACCGGATTCCAATAACCCAGAGTTGGAGCTGGAGCTGGAGCTTCTCCCTTACCTTCGAGTCTATAAAAATGGCGTCGTCGAGAGGCTTGTCGGGACACGAGTCACTCCGCCGGGGCTTGATTCTCTAACTGGAGTTGACTCCAAAGACATTACTATTGTCCCCGAAACCGGCATCACCGCTCGTCTTTACCGACCAACTGCCGTCGAACCTCCCCGTAAACTTCCCTTGGTTGTTTACTTTCACGGCGGTGCGTTTCTCATAACCTCCAGTGCTGAACCTATTTACCACAACAACTGTCTCATCCCGCTCGCCGCAGCGACCGAAAGCGTCGTCCTTTCGGTGAATTACAGATTAGCGCCGGAGCACCCTCTCCCCGCCGCTTACGAAGATTCGTGGGCCGCGCTTCAGTGGGTTGCTGAACAGTCCAAGACCTCCGGTGACGAGGCCGGCCAGGAGCCTTGGCTTAAACAGCTAGTCGACTTTGAGAAGGTATTGTTAACTCAAATCACTCGTGGGACTCAACACATTTCTTTTACACTAACTTTCGTTTATCTGTGTTCTCGCATCTTTGAAGGGCTTAGCTTAAGGGATGACCAAAATAAGTTCTAAAACAGAAGTATTTAAAAAAATTTCCATAATCTTAAATTAGTTGGAAAAATTCTCAAATATATTGTTTTAATATGAAAAGTAACATAATTTAAACACTTTTTTTAAGATATTCCAAACACAAGATCGTTCCCTTTAACGTTGTCTAAATTTCCATTAAACGGAAAAATTCAAGCTTGTACAAAAGATTGTCCTTGCCACTACTAAACTAAAAAAAAATCTATATGTTCATATGTGGTTTAGAAATTAACTTTAAGTATGTAAATTATTACATTTATTCGCGAACTTATTTATTTAAGAATATAGGTAAATTAAATAAATAGGTCTAACAATTTATCTATATTCTTTTGAACAGGTGTTCTTGTTAGGTGACAGTGCCGGAGGAAACATCGCACACCACATGGCCCTACGAGCCCAAAACTCCAATCTTGCTGGGAATTTCAAAATTCGCGGAATCGCTCTAATTCAACCGTACTTCTGGGGCGAGGAACCCATCGGCTCAGAGATCACCGAGCCTGAGAAAAAGGCTCTAGTGGACAGTTGGTGGAATTTCGTGTGCCCATCTGACAGAGGAAACGACGATTTATTAATCAACCCGTTCGCCGACGGATCTCCGTCGGTCGAGGGCCTCGTGGGCGAGAAGGTGGTGGTAATAGTTGCAGAGAAAGACATACTGAGGGACAGAGGGATGCTTTACTATGAAAATTTGGTGAAGAGCCACTGGAAAGGGAAGGTCGACATTTTTGAGACGGAAGGAGAGGATCATGCTTTCCATCTCCTCGATCCAACTTCCGAGAAAGCTAAGAGACTTGTAAATCGTTTGGCTTTGTTTGTAAATGAAGACTGAGCGTTGATAATGGAAGTCCAAAAATTGAATTCATGGCGGATTTACTGTTTAGGTGGAAAGAATTCAAATCTCTTAATTGATAAAAATTTCATGACATTCATTCTAACATTTTGAATCACCAAAAGCTGTCCTGTAAAACACGAAACCACCTCTAGTCCAGAATATTGAGAGTCACATTATGATTCAAAGGAACCCCCTTTACAGAACTTCTCAAATTATCCTTCATCCTAAGATCCAATAAAATATCAATGTTATGAAAATAAAAGCTAGAAAGGGGTTCGTAGCTATGGAAGAGTTCGAACACCCTTTTGCTTGATTAACAGTTCACAGAGCTCACAACCACTTCCTGCAGGGGAAGTGCCATTCTTCAACGAACATAGTTTGATTAAAACACAACCGTGTCGAGCATCGTTCCTAATGTTTGTATGATGTTTGATGACATCAAATTGGAGACATGTTCTTCCAGGTGCTTCTTAGCATCTTGTCTTCCCACATTTGCAATTGCAAGTTTCTCTGGTGGCAACTCGTCTTCCTCCTGCACCGCCTTGTTGTACTTAATAGCCAAGTTCAGCATTTCCTGCATGGTATACACCAGAACACCATAAATCACGAACATATATGCACAAGGAAATCTACCCACAGCTGTGTGCAATTTTACGGCAGTGAAAAGTGAATTGACAAGATATTTTCTTACGACCCTTTTTTATTAGATCATCGCTCTTTACGTTGTCAAAATTAACTTTTGTGATTGACATAAGTACAAATAGAGTGCCATTGAATTGTTTGGCAATATGCAGGAAACTTAATTTATTTAATGTTGCAAGTAGAGATGCAACCTTTAGAAGGTTAAAAAACATTTGCTTACCTGGACCGTCTGCTCATTAGTTTTCGAGTGTGTGTCAAATCGTCGAAGTGTTAGCCCATCAGTCCATTTCTTCTTGTGAAGATTAAGCAACATCTTCTCTTCAAGCTCATTCTTCCTATAGTTAATTGCTATGGAGTAATAATGGCGATTCAATCCATGGATTAATGCCTGAAAAGGATGGAACAATAAAAGTCAATAGATTGAAAGCTTGAGTTGACTTAATTGTATTTTGCTCAACACTCACTTGAATAGATGGTTTATTAAGATGGCCGAGGTTTGATGTTGTCTGTCGTGGTTCTTGGCCAAGCATCATTGTCTGGGGATTAATTAAACGAAAGGCATCGATAACCACCTTCCCCTTGACACTTTGGATTGGATCCACAACTACGGCAACGGCTCGCTGATTAAGAGCTTCAAAACTCTACCAATGACAATGATAATGAAAATGAGTGCATTTCACATTTTAATCTAAATTGCAAATAATTTAGCAAATTGCTCAAGTCAAGCTAAACAGATAACTTTATTACACTTCTTTTTTGTAGCTGGAATACAAAATAACAAAAACCCTGATAAATAAGAATACATTATACAATAAAAAGAAAAGATATTGTCCCTCTATAAAGATTAAACGATACGATGATAACAATAATGCAAAATGGAGGCTTTTCTAGAACCACAAACCTGTTGAGTATTGATGTCAACACCAGAGAGCCAACATCCAAATCCAGGATGAGAGTGATACCATCCTACAACCATCTCAGGGCTGAAGACAATAATCAGATAGTTGAAGGAAAAGGGCGGCAGAAGATATAAGTTAATAATGAGTTCAATACGAGCTCCATATGCTAAACTGGGCTAAAGTGACTGTTCAACTGAAGCAATAATAGTTAAAAAATAAAAAATAAAAATACTACTGGATTTACGCCATGTTACCTTATTGGGAAGTGAATGTGATGAAATCAGAATAAAACTAGGAGGGAATGGGAATAATTAAACCCTAGTGACTAATCTTGACTGCAAGTGAAATCAGATTCAAATTCATATGCTTTAACAAGACGGTTAGGGCTTTTGAATCAATAGCTTGCTTCCTCTCTTCATTTATTTTTCATTTAAAGTCATTTCTAATTTGGAATAAGATTAAGATAACATTTGGATATAAATATAAGCTTACAGGTCAGATGCAATGTACTACTACAGCCACTTGAAATGAAAAGAAAAATTATAACAATATCTTGGTGTAAACTGTCTAATATTTTTATCTCCTATAGTTATATCTCCCTCATTGCAAATTGGGAAGGTCTTTTGTAAAGATCATGGATTATACATCCCTCTTGTAAATTTCACTCATCAATGAAATTGTCTCTTATAAAAAAAAAAATAAATAAATAAAAAAACAAAAAAAAAAAAAACCCAAATTGAAGCTAAGAAAAAAATGGCCGGAAGAAGCCAAGAAAACGGGGAGTTATTCAAGCAAAACAAGGGGCACAACCAAAAAAGAAAGAATTAGAGAGTGTTGCTCCAAGGAAACGGGAATGGTATTAAAGTTAAAAATGAACTGAGCCCACATTCAGGAATTCATTCCCTAATAGAAGTAAAGTGTTGGAATCAGAATGAGACATGATTCTGATGCAGAAAAATGCACTTAATTGTATAAATAGGAAAGAAAATTGCAGGACAGCCAACTAAACTCCCTCCAAAGTGCATGAGCAGATTGTTCAACTGAGAAATTCACATCAATAGATCTTATTATTGGCCTAGAGTTCAAACATCTCAAGATCCTATAAACATTTCATTAGCATAATCTTCAATGAAATTTAAGTAAGCCTATGTAAGTTTTATGCTAGCATCAGATCTCAAACAACTGAACTTTTTTTCAAAAACCAAACTCGCACAGGACAGCACAAGGCGTCCCATACACCACAGGCAGCAAGCATCGACATACAAATAAAAGGGAGCATTTTGGCAGGATCTAAAATTTCATTTTCAGCAACTTAATCTATAAGATCTTCTCTCCAGCAAAGATAGTGATTAGAAATCCGAATCAATATTCACAGACATTCCAAAGTAAAGAAAACTACCGTCCAGTTTGTTTAAGCATGTCGAGCATATTGGTCTGGAATACATGATCAACAGCTTCAACACTAACACCAGTACCACTTTGCGGCATAGCAAATACATCGACCACACGCACGGTGTACTCATCAACAAATTCCCCCAACATCAGACCCATCACCTCCATGGGAACCCCAGCTCTTCCTATCATGCACATTACAGCAGAAAAATTAATATGAAAACTTCACGATCTTAATTACCACTAACTAAAAATACACCGAACATCCTAAACCTAAAACCAAGAGTCCAAATTCGTTGATTATATAGAAGGGCAGAGTCGATGGAACCCTAAACGGTAACTTTGTAAACGATTTTCAACAAAACCGAAAGAATAAGATCCAAACAAATAAAAACAAGTGAAATTTTCATTTCGAATAGTACCATGTTTGAGCATCTTCAGAAGAGCGAGCGAGGAGATGTAGACCTGCTCCGACGAATCCAGAGTGGGCGAGTCTGGCGGCGGGTGCCCCAGTGAACCTCCGGCGCCGGCGAACATTCTCTGCAATCGCTCCATTCCAAAAGTTTTCCCTCAGCGTCGATCTTCCCGTCAGATGAACAAGCAAGACTCGAACTTTTCTTTCGCAGCAAGACTTCCCTCGTCCAGTTCTTAAAAATGGCGATTTATGGAGGTGGAAACACGTTAAATTACAATTTTACCCTTACTACCTTTTTTTAGTAATAAATTTTAAATTTTTATTTTTAATAAATATATTAAAATATCATTTAATCGATATACTTTTTTTAAGTGTTAAGTAGGCCTCAGCTTTTGTAATTTGACCCAAATGCCATGCAAAGCCCACCCCAGTATCATGCTATCAACGCCAGGCCCCAGGCCCGCCCTTCATGACAGGTTAATTCTAGTAATTCCCGCGAAGGTAGATGATATTTCAGAACAAAATTCGTAAACCTGACCGTTTCTGCGCCTTAGCCGTTGCCGTTGCCGGAGAGCGTTGCGCTGCAATCTTTTGAACTAATTCTTCAACTATGCTTCTGTTTTTTTTTGCTCCTCCTTCCTAGGTTCTTCGTGACCTTTGTTGATTTGTGCAAAGTGTAGTGACTCGTAAGATGAGGTTCTGAAATGGAGGTGCTCTGAGGCTGTGCTGCTTGGATTCAAATCATTCTGCTCCTTTGCATTCCACCACTGCAACGTGCACGGGCTCTACTCCTCCGGTTCTGAAAAGGAGGAAGAGGTACAGGAGAGAGCAAAGGCATTACTGAGGAGTTGAGGTTCGTCGGTATGAGGCTTCGGAATGTTAATGGGGAAAAGTTATCTGGTGATACTGGGGATTCATCAAGTGAAGATGGAGTAGAGGAGAAAGATGACGGAAATTTGGTGTTGAGCGATGATGATTATGATGAGAGCGGGGATGGTATAGAGACTTGGCAACCGAGCTTGAAAAGATGTCTTAAATATTTGGCTGATAGTAAGTTCATATTCAGCACTGTGGAGAAAATCATTGATGAACCTAAGCAACGTTGCTTGTAAGATTCCTCCCAGCATTTTTCTCTTCGAGATTGTTTATATTTCGTTTATACCATGACGATAGGATGCATGATAATGTTGGCGACCAATATTAGTTTCTGTGACTGTAGAGACTTGTGTTGTCAGGTGTTAGATAATTGGTTGCATTACCTCAGTGTTCATTGGGACTTCATGTGCTTCTGTTGTTACTATTTTGTTCCTTCATACTTGTGACAAAGACACACGCCTTTTAATCGTTGCAAACATCATTATGCTAATACATACACACATATGTTTATTCCTATCAAAAAGTTTCGAGGTTCTCAGTTAAGTTCTTGTTTAAGGATGATCAGACAGTCACTGTTCCTGTGCCTCTGGTTGCTTGTTATTCCCCTTAATTCTATTCAATGCCTCCTGGTGCTTGCTTCAGGATATCTCTGATGCTCTCTAGTTTACTTTCAGGCTCTTGGTTCTTGGTTAAGGCCGTAATCTCTTGGAGCGACCTCTATGGTTCTTCCACTCCTTTCGATGGGAAGAAACCAATGACTTTTTTAAGATTGTATTTAGCTATGGTCTAAAATTGGTGCACATTAAGCAAGGAGTATGTAACTTTTCGACTTTCTTCATTGATCAGATTGCATTCTTCTATGCCTTAGTTTACATTGTGTTGGTTTCTTGTGCACCTATGTTCACTTTTATAATTTTCCTTCTCGAGATACAGTTCTGAGATTCTTATTTTAAAACAAATCATTATAATTCGTCAGTGCACAAATGCTATGGCGATTGGAGAAACAATAGCTGCCGGACATTTGAAACTTTTTTGATTGTCACGGTTGTCCAAATGGATCTCTTGTTTACTATTAGGCATTGTTTGATAACCATTTTGTTTTTCGTTTTTTATTTTTTAAAATTTTAAAATTACATTGTTAAGCATTACTTTTACTTGTAGTTTTCTTGCTTTATTAACTGCGGTTTACAAACAATTTAAAAAGCCAATTCAAATTCTGAAATTGAAAGAGGTAATTTCTAAAACCTTGATTTTGTTTTTGAAATTTGGCTTGGAAGGTGAAAAACTTACCAAAAAATTGTGGAAAAAATAAGTATAATTTTCGAAAACAAAATAGTTATCAAACAGGTCTTAGTGACTAGTATTTTAAAAAATAATTTAGATTAGTATAAAGTTTTTGATGTATTGATTAAAGGGTTAACGTTTACGGTTCGGTGACAGTTGGTGTTCAGTTCTTTTTTTCTTTTTTTCTTTTAAAGACTGAAAGCCAGTATTTTGATTGCAGATAGTTACTTCAGAAAATCAGGGTTGGAACATTCAGAATATCTTGCAAAGGATCTAAAATGGTTCAGTGAACAGGGTATTGTGATACCCGAACCGAGCAGTCCAGGAGTTCCTTATGCTGAGTATCTGGAGGAACTTGCTGAGAGGAGTGCCCTTTTGTTACTTTTCCATTACTATAATATATACTTTTCACATATAGCAGGTGGCAACAGGTATGTGAAGTTGCTTTCACAATGTGATGCTACTGTGATCTGAGATAACAAAGTATTTATTGTATTACCTCTTCTCTTAGAACTTTTTATTCAAAGATGAGTAGCAGCCTTTCTCCAAGGAAAGGAGGTGCCTCTGTCTGTGATCTGAGATAACAAAGTATTTATTGCATTACCTCTTCTCTTAGAACTTTTTATTCAAAGATGAGTAGCAGCCTTTCTCCAAGGAAAAGAGGTGCCTCTGTCTGTGATGTGCTATATGAGTCATGAGTTATAAACCAATCCTTTGGCATTCTTTATATCATAAATAGTGATTGAGTTGTGGCTTCCTTCATGCACGAGACGCCAGAAAAGAAATAATTTATCCTAAAACTTGTTACGTAAAATTTTAAAAACATGTATGATGTAATTGCCTGTTATAGCTGATAAAAAATTTGTTATGATTTATATTCTTTTTCCGAAGGATTCTGATAGACTCGTTGAAGGTAGAAAGCTTGAATTTTATACATGGGCAGGGGACGTAGAAGAACTGCTGAAAGTGCTCGTGAGAAGCTTAACATGCTTGGAGAGGTTGATTTCATAGAATATAGAATATTTAGTAAATTGCATTTAGTTAGTGATGTCTTTAGCTTCTGCTTTACCATTTGCTAACCCTATGCAGCTATGTGGATGCTAATGCAGCACTGATCTCGAGATGAGAAAAATAAATGCTCGAGAGAAGCAACCTAGTCATTCCGCATTTTGGGAAAGATAGTTCGTTTGTTTATCATATGATCAGCTATTTTAAGTGATATGATTTTGAAGGTGCTCCCGGTAATGCAGCAATATTATTTACCCTTCTCATATTCTATTTATGCCTTTGTTTCATACATAAGTTAATATCCTTTGTCTTACATTCTCATTAGGCACAAGACTAGAATATCAAGGGGCCAACAAACTGGTAAAGTACACGTTTATTCACATGGTTATCATAACTTTACATCCTCAAGAAAATGCATTAATGTTTGATGCGAACTACCATCCTTTCTATTCATTGTTGCTCATCTGTTTCAATCTGCAGTCTTCCTCTTTCCATCATTAGATGTATTACTGTCCTCTGGCTTGATAGATACCTCCCAACATACCGACACACTCTGAGTAAAAGTTCAAAATTTTAGATAGCCGAGTATAGGAATATAGGAAAAGGGTAATTGAAAGCAGTGGTTATTCCTTAATCATTTACAACTTAGTTGTAGGTAATAGAGAAGATTGATATGTTCAATAAGTATTTATCTTTTAAAAAAAGTATTAGAAAATTACCCTATGACCTTTTCACAAAAAATGACATAGTTCTTGCATTGGTGATAAGTCCCATTGACTTTTATAATTATAGATAGAGTGGTAAGATCAATGGCAAAGGAAGAGGAAACAATTTGAAAGTTTGGTTAAGACAAATGAATGATGAGAATAAGCTGAAGCAAAACGACCTTGCTTGAACAGATCATTTTGGTGTCATTGAGTTCTAAAAATAAGGTGAAGCAAACTTTCAAAGTAAAATATGTTATTAAGTTTCCAAAGTTTGACTTGCAGTCATTATAATTAGTTACTTCCTACGAGGCTTGTAGTAAATTTGATAACCAACTAGGATGTGAGCTATATCTTGAGAATGTCTACAAAATCAGTTGCCTCAAAATAAGAAGAATTGTCTATAAACTTACAACGCTACATTAAAGAATCAAACTAATTTGTACATAACAATGATTTCTAAATAAATAGTAAGGCAGTCCGCAAAATAGTATAAAATATCTATAGTTAAAAACTTGAAACACTCTACCGTACAATATCAAAATAATTAATGCTAAAACAAGTGGAAAATATGAACTTTTTATATTATTTAGTTAAAAACTTAAACGTGAATTGCATAATTATGCAACAGGGTCGTTTGAATTGGAGGAGTTTTGTTCGATTGAGCTATAATGCTTCTATATTGAACATATTTCAATTCATGAAAACCTCTAGTTGAAGGGAGAATATTTTTCTCGACTCTGTACTATTCGAGTATTCTTAATGGGGGTATTCCATATGAAAAGCAGTCTCCAAGCCAAGTATTTATCATAACCTCATGCTTTTATTTTTACGTTGAAATTGTATTTTTAGGTTTTGTCACACCCTTCCCCAACCCTTAGTGTTTGATGCCTTACAACACCATTAATTTGGGTTAGCTGATAGCTCCACTATTCACTTCGAACTACAACTTGGAATGTACTGTCATCCATTTAACATCGATTTAGATGGTGCTCAAGTTTTTTCTATCAACATTCTAGCCATATCATCTTAATCTTTGCATCTAATAATTTGTCTTTTGATTAATCCCAAGTGTTGTGAAATTAATGATTATATATAAAAACCACCTCATTATTGTCAAAACCATTTATGGTCTTGTAGAAACTGATGTATGAAGAAAAATACGAAGGTAAAACCATCAATGGTAATATAGGTACATGGTCTACAATCTGAATCTGAATTACACACGATAAGATTTATAATAATTTTTCCCTCGTTATTCTTGGGACATTTTCAATATTTTTTGGAACTTTTTCTCCAGGGGTAGGGCTTGACAATGCTCAGAAAATGGTTCTCTTTCAATCGATCAAAGTTGCGATGAATCTACAGGGCTGCGCTCATTCAGAGGTTTTGATACTCTGATTGGAAATGAAAAAGAGCAGTGATTTTGGACAGTGGTGGCTGCTGAAGGCATGGAGCCAGTGACCTTCCCCAACTTGAGGAGCTAACCCCATTATTTTCAACATTCCATCAAATGCCATCAGGTACACATTCTAAAGTACTTGAGAGAACCATTGGATACATTTGACTTGGCTTTGGTGGGGTTTGAAGCTTTCTACACCTTCCTTTTTCACATATATATATATATGCATATTTTTTTTATATTTCAAATTCACCATCATTAATGCGCACTTGGTCAATTAGTGGCTCAACATCGTTCAAGACAGTGACACATTGACACAAAATAAACTTGGCATTATCACTCTTGATATGGTGCAAAACCTATCGAGAAGATTAAAGATTAGGTTATAGATTTGTTTGTGTTTTGTTAACTATTTTTTGCTAATATTTTTGAAAAACCCAATATGAAAACTGAAGTGGTATTTTTTTAAAATATATTTATATTTTTGAAATTTAACTAAGAATGAAAATATATATATATATATATATATATATTTTTTTTTTTTTTTTTTTTTT